GCTCGTGGGCCGAGCTGAGCTCGCCCACGAGCAAACGAGCCCAGCTTCTGCTCGGCTCGGCTCGTAATGAGCCACGAGCTCAGCTCGTAGGGCAACGAGCCGAGCCGGCTCGACTCGGCTCATTGCCATCACTAATTCGAAGTAGGAGAGTTTGGAATCAACCTTAAAGTAGAAAGCAAGATATTAGTAGAAGTTCAACGTTAAAATCATTTTATTATGAAATTTTTTACCATACCCATTTAGGCACATCGCCACAACAAAAATCACTACTTGGTCATCGCTGGATGGTACCAACTACCAACTGAGCAAATGGAAAGAAATTCTTTTCGTGCTTAGGCATGGTTTAAAAATGAATATTCATATGTTTAGGCCCCTACTAAGTAAAATCCGTAACTAAAGCTATTTGAATATGTTTTCAAAGTTTCTAACGTAAAAAAGCAAACATCTTTACGAGACAACGATGAGTTAGAATACCTCGCTGGAATAGATTTTATGAATGTGAAGTGATGAAATTAATGCATTATGAATTTTAATGCGACGAGATCATTTTTGTCTTACGAATTAGCAATTACATTAATTTTCATTTTCATCACATAAATTAGCAATTCTTTTAATTTTCAAATACACAGAGTGAAAATAAATAAAAGTCTAGTGACTAATTCGAAATAAAAATAGGCTTGAGTGGTCATGCTGAAATAACACTACAAGTTCAGCGACTATCAATGTTTTCAATTTAACCCTCAATAATTTCAACCTCTCCCATGTCTTTCTCTCCATCGACAAATCTTCGTCTTTACCATTATAAACTGGTTCCCTGTAAAAGCCCTGTAATAATTTCCCATGGCGACTTCTTCTCTGTTACTTTCACCTCTCTCGTCTGGGACTTTTGAAAATCGTGAAACGAGTAGCAATATATTTTCTTCATTTCTTCAAAGTCCGAAGCTCACCTTCACTGCTAAGCCCGGAAAAAGCTCGTTTCGGAGATGTAAGTTTAAGTCCCCAGTAGCTCAGAAATCACTTGACCACATCCCCAAACAGTTCCGAGAAGAGAATCTTAAAGATGGAAGTAAGTTTTTTATGCTTTGTTTGATTTGGGGTTTATTACCTTTCAGTTTATTAGTTTTGGCATCTTGTATATATATATATTATTGTTATTATTTATTTTTATTTTTTCAGTTTCGAGTGTTAGATAAATTTTTGGGTTTTGATTTTTTGAATTTTTGAGGTTTGGGCATTCTTGTTTATATATATGGGTAGGTTGGTGTTCATGTATAATATACTAATTGTGTAACGGATCATGAAGATATGTTGTTTCTCAAAAAACAATGTAAGCCCCTGTATGTGCCGCATTATTTTTTTCATTCTTATTCTTCCACTCATTTTCAACGATACATTTTTCAATAAAATAATATTTTTCATCACATGAATAAATTTTTCTTCTTTTTCAATCACATATTCCTCGTTACATCAACAGTAAAAATGCATTTTTACTCCCAAAATGTGCATCAAACAGGGCTAAATCTTATAGAAGTAGGAAAATAATTTTAAGTAATGGAATTTTTGAAGGCTTCGGAAATTTATGAAAGAACCCTTGACTGATATATCTTACCGTGCTAAGGAAAATCATTATGGATTATGATTTTGTGCCTTATTTGACATTTGCTTTCCTACATTTTGAATGTGTTTGGCATGCATCCTTGGGAAGGATTGGAAAGTATTATGGAAGAAAAAAGTTAAATTCTTGTTCATTGTAGTGCATAGTCGTTCCTCCAATATTGTGTGTCATACATGTCATTCTTGTTTTATGATGGTGAAAAGTACTTTGTTTGCATATTGAACTATCTTCAAACTCAATTGTGGAAGAAGTATTTCACTATCCAGCCAATAAAAAGATTGATGTCAATGAGGCACTAAGCCATTGATATTAGTGTTTTTCTTTTCTTGTTCTAGACTTTCTAATGACGAAGTTGTAGCTCATTCTTTTAGTTTGTGGAATTCCCTTTTCAGTTCTTTCGAAGTTGAGTAGACAACAGTTGAGGAAGGGCAGAATGCTCCCTTGGTAGCTGTAGGAGCCTAGGTGGATTACTGGGAGGGGATAGAGTCATAGAGTTAAGCGTTAAGGTCGTTTGGAAATAATGTGTGTGGCTATATAAATGATATTTATGTGGCCCTTTCTACCTGCTTTAAACATATTAGGTGGTTTCACATCCTGAGTTCAAGTCTCTTTGCCACTTGTTTAATGAAACTGTGCATGTGTTAGGCTTAAATAGGAGAAAATGAATCATAATTCCACGTGGTGGGTGTGTTGAGGCAAAATATAAATGATATACATATGCACCCTCTAATAGCTTAAGTTTTAGATCAAGTAGTAGAATAATAGACAACAGACCTAAAGAAAGAAGAACAAAGGTGATTGCCTGCTTTTAATATAGCTGCATGATTGAGGCAAAGCAATGTAATTTAACTTGATGCTGCATTTTTTATTCTGAAACTTAAAGAAAGGCCATCAGGAGTTAGCTCATTGTTTGTTTCTTCTGACAATTATTATGTTCAAAAAAACTATAAAAATATTTGCGATTCTGGATTTATTAATTTATGGAAAAGGAATATATTTAAGTTTTATGATCTCTTTTCTTATGTTTTTTAAACTATCCGATGGTTGTACTTTTTGAGCTTGACCTGGCTTGTGTTTGTCTTGCTGTAAATGACCCATCTTCTCTTTTGAAGTGATGGACAACTACAAAAATGCACCTCAGTATCTTTATGGTCTTACTCCTTCCCAGATGGATATGTTCATGACAGAAGATAATCCTGTCAGCCGACAGGCAGAAAAAGTCACTGAGGTTTGCCTCTCTTGACATGTTTATCTTAACTGTTCACAACTTATCTAGGCTTTGAGCCCCATTTTTTAGGAAATAAATTTTGCAATAGCGATTTTTTTGGAGAATATGATTAAAAAATAAGAAAAAGTTTTGGGTTTACGTGCAATATTATTTTATTGGGAGAATGTATGGTTGAAAATGAGTTTGGGAAAAAAATATCGTGATTTTGTCCTTTTTGAGTGCAATACAATTGTAAGTATCGTCATGATAGTGATGGTTTATCACAAAGCAATAAAGAAAAAAAAAGAAGGTAAACGAACTAAAATAGGAAAAAATGATGAAGGATTTTCATGTCCTACTTCTGGGTGCTTCATTTCGGTGAGTTGAATTAAAAGTATACTATTGGTGACACTTTTAGCTCAAAGTCCTTATACTGTTCGCTACCATGTCAGGAAAGCATCTCATCTTCCTGTAATTATTTAAATAACGGTGGAATGTGGAGCCTATCTGGCATGAATGAAAGAGGCCCCTCAAAGTATAGCATGAGTGTCAGCATGTACCGTGGAGGAGCTAGAGGATATGGAAGACCCAGAACTGCTCCTCCTGATTTGCCATCCTTGCTTCTAGATGCTTGAATTGTCTATCTTGGGATGCCAGTATTGCATTGCTTTCCACCTCTTGCTTAGCAGACTTCAACTTTTTTATTTTTATTTTTATTTTTTTAATTTTTAATTTTAATGACTACTGATGTTCCCATTCCTATTGCCATGTTGATTGTGGCAAATGATCACAGATTGTACCAGCTGTAACTGAGCTTCTTGTTGCTCAGTTTATGTGGTTGGATTATGACAACCAGTCAAAGCCCATATATCTATACATAAACTCATCTGGCACACAGGTGAATCATCTATACATAGATCTCGTTTGGTAAAGATTAAGATCCAATTAAAATTGAAAATATAGTCGTTATTGGGTCCCACTCGTCTAATAAAAGTCAACAATAATGACTAGTTTTTCAATTTTAATTTGATTTTAATATCTACCGAACACGCTCATAATGTATTTTTTATATATTCCATTTTCATTACCTTAGAATAATTAAATTGATTTAGTTTGATCTTTGCCCTTGAATTTTTCTAAACCCATCTCTATTTTTTTTCCCTTAATACTTTTGCGTAGAATGAGAAGATGGAGACTGTTGGATCTGAGACAGAGGCTTATGCGATTGCTGACACCATGGCTGTAAGCACCTGCCCCATTTATTACAAAGCAGATATTATCTGAAAAGAAAATTAAGGATCAGACTTTTTTCAAAGCTTAGATAAGTTGGTACACTGTTTTTGTTAAAAACAGAAAGAGAGTAAAAGGAGTAGCTCAACTTTTTGCAAGTCTTGATGGTTTCTGTTAATCTCATAAGCACTCCTTCTTCAGTCTAACTTGTGTCTTTTGTATATATTCTGCCAAAAATACTGCAAATCAGATGTCTATACAGTAAATTGTGGCATGGCATATGGTCAAGCAGCAATGCTTCTATCACTTGGAGCGAAAGGTTATCGTGCGTTACAGCCAAATTCATCGAGTAAGATTAAATTCTTTGCATATCAGAATGGGTTCTTTATACATTCAAGTGGAACCATCCTGATAATAAAGCTTTCTGGATGCACGTAATGCATGTCTGCATCAGTTCATCCTTAATGATTGGATCCCACATTGTAGGCTTTTTATCATTCACCAAAAAAACAGGGTGCTTTTCATGTAAGGATGCATATAGTAGTGGGTGTGTATGTGCATGTTGCCAGGATATGCATAGTATACTGTAAGCTTTACTGATGGTTACGAAGTTTGAGCTTATTTGTTGAATCTTCCCACAGAAGTAGGAAAGGGTAGGGGATTGAGTTCAACTAATTATATCATATCTGAAGAATGTCTTGTCAGTATATAACCTACTTGCACATCTTATCTTATCCAATAGATGACTTAATTTTCTGAAACTTTATAATAGAATAAAATGTTTCCTGTTAGTGGTGTCCGTTGGAAAGTTACTGACTACTAGTGCTTCCGTTGAATATTCAGACGATTGAAGTCCTAATAGTGTTCTATTTGGCTTTGGAATGTTCGGAAGACAAGGAAGTGCTAAAATTGGGAATGGGAAGCTTTGAATACAATGTTTTCCAGGATTCCAGATCAGGAAGAGAATATAAATCATGTTGGGGATTTGGAGCTTCCTAGAGGACTATCCCATGTTTGTTTTCTGTTTAGGGTTGGGAGGATTGAGCTTATATGTCACTGCAGGACAAGTTGTAGATCTTAAGGAAAGAGGACTTGATCTCACATTACTTTGGAGATCTCTCTCCTTTTTTTAATTATAATAAAAACCATTAAAAGTCGGTGAACCACTTAGTATGGACTTCTTTCCTGATAAATGATGGATCCATATGGAAAATTCACAGCAACTTTGTCCCTGTAAATAGGTATGGACTTATCTGAAGTGTCTTCCAGAGTACCTCTATTTGCTTGAAGAAGATCAAATCAGTTGACACCTCAGCTTAAGGGGGAAGATACTTCTAGTTCCTCCTGGACCCTGGCTCTGTTCTACAATTATTAACGCATCCAAAGAATTAGGATTGTTACCTGTTTAGTGGAATAAGTTTACTTTAATATACTTTTCTTACTAGTGCTTTATTTTTATTCCTAGTATGTATTACTTCTCCATTTTAATTACTTTATAGTCCTCTCCATCATCTATGCCCTTTCATTATTGATCTGAATGAATGTGTAAACAAATAACTTGTGGCTATTTTCTTCCATCCTGTAACATTTGAATGAGGCTTTTGAAAAGCATAAGCACCAAGATAGATTCCCTGTGACATCTTAAACTTAGCACCAAATTTTAGAGTTGATCCATATTGAACTCTTGAAAACCATCAAGCATTGTAGCCACATGGGAATGGTGAACAGACAGTATTTTGCTTTGTATGTTTGATCAAGTCTATCAGTTTTCTGAAGCACTTTCCTACAAAAACCCTTCTTCTAGTATTATTATATGCATTTTCTTCTTCTCTTTTCTGGAAAGGGGTGTAAGGGAAAGTTCAGGTTTTCTACCGACTTGGTTAATATATCTCTAATATGTCTTGGCTAATCCTAATAGAGGCTTATGGACTAGGGTTCATGATGGTTGTTGACTAATGTACGTATGAACCTCCACGGAAGCTAATTTATTGTCCAGGTAAAAGTAAAATGCAATTAAGATTTTATTGAAATTTGATCTTAATTTTCTCCTATTGAAAAACTTTTGCACTTTTCTTTGGCTAATACTACTTACCTGCCTATAGAGGAACAACTATGCTCTACCTGCAACTATCTTGAGTTGATGCCAGTGGCAAGTCAAAAATGTTACCATTTATAATGCGTGCATCGTGTGAGATTCGTTAAGTTTGGTAGAACGGCTGTTGCACCATGAAACTGAACCAACTCAGCTGCAATGTTGCATTGTAAATTCTAAATATATAAATACTTGCTTCTTATCTCATTTTTTCTGCACGTTTGTAAATTGCAGCGAAATTATATCTGCCAAAAGTGAACAGATCAAGCGGAGCTGTTATAGATATGTGGATTAAGGTCCCTCTCTGTCTGTCTGTGCGCGCACGCATACTTGTGTTTATGTGTGCTTCGTTTTTCTATTTATTGCGTGTGATTGATCTTTCAACATCTATCAGGCCAAAGAACTAGATGCCAACACAGAGTATTACCTCGAGCTGTTAGGCAAGGGAATTGGGAAACCAAAGGAAGAAATTGAGAAAGACGTCCAACGTCCAAAATATTTCCAGGCGAAGGAGGCAATTGAATATGGCATTGCTGACAAGATCATCGATTCAAGAGATATTGCATTTGAAAAACGGGTATATATTTTGCTAATTTCTCTGTTTATTATTTCATACGACATTTCCCCAAATTAAATCCAATCTTTATCCGACCTGGCAGAATTATGATGAGATGCTTGCACAATCAAAAGCGATGAGGAGAGCAGCAGGAGTAGGTCCCCAAGCAGCTCCCTCTGGGTTTAGGTAAACCTGAAAGTCTCGGGACTCTCAAATATATAGGCACGATCGACTCTTGCCTGATAATACTCCACTAGTTGTGGAATGTGTTTGCTGCTGTTTTCTATATCTGTTTGCAATTACAGTTATAAAGCAAACCGAGCTGGTTTCCACTTCCTGTTCAAGTGGGCATCAGAGTAAAATGGTACTCAAAACTACTTTTTATTATGTACATATCACATGGGAATGTAGAAGAAAGGATATTACTGTAATGGAACAAACATCCATCTGAAGGTGCTGTGCTTTAAGTGAATTTCTTTAGCGTTGTCTTTATTTAATCCAAACCATACTCATTTTTACAATCTTGATGCGGTTGTCTATTTACATTAAGGGTCCGTTTGATTACAAGGGTGGAAAATGGATGGAAAGAAAATGAATTCCAGGGAAAGCAATTGTCTAAAAATTATTTTCCAGAAAATTGTTAATTAAGCTTGTTTGATTGGTATAATTTTTATTTTTTCATCCGGAAATTTTGGATTTTTTTATTCACGTTTGGTTTTATTTTACATAAAAATTGTCCATTAAAGTGATTTTTTTTTTTTTACAATTGGTTATGAAATTTGTTACTATTGCCAAAAAGTAGGAAAAAAAAATTGTTCGAAAACTATTTTTTCATCAAAGTGTAGTGTTTGTTTGACTCCATTTTACATAGAACTTGTTCATTAAAGTGAATTTTTTTTTAATTGGTTATGAAATTTGTCCCCATTTCAAAAAAAAAAAAAAAAATTGGCAAAACCTATGAGAAAGCATTTTCCCTAATTTTTAGGAAAAGGGGCGTGTGGGTGGGTGTGGGGAAAAAAATTTTCCAAGTCAAATTATTGCAATCAAACAAGTGAATGATAAGAAAATGAAAAAACTTCTCCATTTTCCAAGGAAAATTAGAGGAATCTAACAATGCCTAATATATCATCTTTTAATCTTTCGCAAACTGTTTTAACCATTCCTTTTAAGGGGAAATTATATAAAAGGATCAAGCATGCAAGCTCTAGTGGAGATCCTAGCACAAAACTTGTAAATGTGACGTAAAGGGAGTGCACCTGAGAATAGTCATGCTACATATACATTACATTTGACTTCATTCTTTACATTCTACCATGTGCATCATTTACACCATTAATTTTGAATCTTGAAATTACATCAATGCATTGACACCCTCCACATAGGATGGGGTGGGGTGGGGTGGGGGGTGTAATCTAGCAAAATTCGCCTAAGAAAGCCTTCATATTATGCGGTTGGGCGTAGCCAATAGAGAACTGGGCAGTTGATACCAAAATTTCAGATTCAAAATTTCCAGCTTTCCTTTGCCAATCACACTTGATGTACTCCTGATAAAATACACTGTTTATTACAAATACACGGGCGCAATATGGAAAATCTCACTTACAGAAAATCATATTAACAACAGTTTTGGAGTTTTCTCAACATATCGCAAGGATTAAGCCCTTGATTGAAATTATTTTTCAAATTCATTTACTCATTTTTTTTAACATTTCCATACATTTTAATCACATTCTTAAAAAAATCACTTTTTGCAAAAAGTGCTTCTTAAAAAATCAACTTCGCACAGGGATTAAAATCTCAAGTGGCCTTTGGAGGATCACAAATAGCTTGTCCAAGAAAGGAATCAACGAGACAATGACATTAGAAGCTATATAACACTACAGTTTTGTCACAGTTCACACTAACATATGATTCATAAATATTACAAAGCTAGCTGAGTCTTTAACAAATTTTCCTTCATGTAGCTGGATTGGGCAACAATTTGGGTTTTGGTTTGACTTCAACTTCATTCACACTGCGGACAAATATAGCATCCGGTTCATGGCTGCAAACAAACAATAGCAAATAACAAGTCAATTAGCTAAACACGAGGGAGAGAGGGAGAGAGAGAGAGAGTCTTACGGTTTGTCTCCCTCTTCGTATGTATAACTCGATGCTACAGCCAACAATCTACCATCTCTGCTAAATGACAAAGCTGCAATGCTTGTTGGGTACTTTGGGTACTGCAAATTTTCGAGGTAAAACAAAAAAAGATTACCTAGTTATGTATCCATAGTTTCATATTTGGGATATATGGAAAGCAAGATCAGGTCCAAAATATATATTACCTGATACAGCCTCTTCTTGTTGTTCCCATCCCACACATTGACATAACCGTCACAACCTCCAGTAGCAAATGTACCATAGCTACACTCAAAAATTCACAAATAAGCTAACGAGACTGAAATCAAATGCTTGCATCCTATAATGTCACACAGAATTGAACTTGCTTAGTGCTAAACTCTTTCCAAGCCTGGAGAGATCTCCAGAAAAAATTCAATAAACCATAGAGCATGTTTTGTATAGGAATCATTCCAAGCATGCCCAGATCAGGATTTTTATAACACCAACTTTAGATAAAGGTACATTGATTCACAAAGTTTACGTATCTTCCTTGTTCATGCTTACTAATAATCATTCGTGATCAGACTAGCTACCTTTTTTTCGAGGCTAACATTGGCTGTACAAATATTATATTGAATTGATACTGTATTATTTCAACCATCTGTTTAGCATATTTTGTAACTTTTCTGCAAAAAGGATTTCATGTTCTTTTGCTTCTAGGATGCAACTAATTGCCCTGAGACACCCATTGAATGCAATCTTGAATGGATTAGGAACAAATTACCCAAGCACACTATGAGAACTTACATGGGGTGAAACGCAATAGAATTTACTGGGTACACAATATCCCTTCCAGCTTCTGATTTACGATGACATTTGAATGCATATCTGCACATTAAAACCATCAGGAGAAGGGGAAGTAGTTTAGGTTCACAGGCAAAAGAGTATTGCAACTGCAACAGTTCATAAATACAGGAATATATTCTAACTTAAATGACCTTTAACTTTGGGTTCTGGGATAAATTCTATTTATTACCCTTAGATAGTTCAGCAGTCAAAACTTCTAAGCAAGACATTAAACTCATAGAAATGCATCTTTTTCTTTCCCATTAACTTGAAAATCATAGGCCATTCTACATGTTTAAAGTAAACTCCAGAAACATGTGATTCTGAGAAGAAAATTTCATGAGATGAAAAATATTTGCTACAATTAATTAGTAAGCAAAAAGGTATCCCAGATGTGAAGTTAATATATCATGCAGTTCTAAGACTCTTTTATTTTAGCACTAAAACACAGAACAATATAGCCAACTGAAGCATGTACACATCTTATAACTACGTATACACGCTCACAAGGTGCAAATACATACTTCTTGGATTGACCAGCCTCAGAGAGATCAAAAAACTCCATGGCAACTCGTCCTTCCACAGAACTAAGAGCATAACCTGCAAATGGAAGTTGCAACCAGAGGAGTGCTAGTGAAATTAGAACCTTAATACAACTAGTTATGAATTTAGTCCCCTAAATAAAGTTACTTCTTAATTATTAGCTAACCATTTCTTATCCAAAAAACTCTTATCTATGATAATTCTATGTTAACCAGCACATTTTTGGTTGTCCAAATATTTCAGAAAACAGAACTCTTCAACATGGTAATATTAGTGATAGTCAAGATTCTCTCAGAAATTCTGGATAAGAAAAGTAAATTGTGCATAAGTAGTAGCCAAGATAGAATAAGAATAGAGCACAAAGCACTTTTGACAGGAACATCCGAGCAAAGCAAGATAAATCAAAGACCGCGACAAGCCCTAAAGTACAGTAAGATGAGGAATATGCACCTGTTCCATTGGGATAGCATCGCACACATCTGGTTTGGTATTTCAATGATGATTCCCTCCGTTGTTCAGGCTGATTCATGTTCCGAAGATCATACACATTTACATGTCTTCCAGCAGTGGCTACTACCAAACGATTGCCAACAAGAGACAAAGAATAAACACGTTCAGGTTGTGTGTATGTTCCAATAAGAGAACGCTCCTGACCACTTGCACCTCTGGGGTCCCAACACTTCAGGGTTTTGTCCCAACTACCAGTAATAACTTGGCCTAAAATCATGAAATATAGAAACAAATTAAGAAATATGGAAACATCATTCCAAAAGAGGGTGTGTGTGTGTCGGCAGACATGACAGACCGAATTTGATCAATGCGTATGATATACATAATTTCGTCACAAACAGTTTTTTAGAATTATATGACATGCAGTAAACTGTTCAATAGTTAACTAGTAAAATTACCTAGTCACCGCAATATCTGGAATGTAGACATTATTTCATGATATTATAAATCAATCTTCACGGATATGAATTGATTTAAGAATAGGCTAAAATGGAAACAAAAAGACTAGGTGAAACGGAAAATGATGAATTAGGCTGCCAAGAAGCATGATTTGTATATTTATCAGAGCAATTAGCCAATGTTCAAGAAACGTCTTTCTTTTCTGAGATGTTGTATACTATACAGACAGATCTATCGCATCTAATAAAGGAAAAAACCCAATCTCAAACAGATGATAGTGGCGAGAAGGAATTGAAGCAACTATCTAGTGGTAATTCTATTCCTTGTTGAATTTTTTTAATTTTTTTTTTCAAGAAAAGAGTTAGAAATGCATATTGATAATTCATAACACGTGTCCAGAAGGAACAGGCATTTGCAAACAATAATGGTAAACTTCAAAAAAGGAACACTAATTTGAGAATAATAACTATGCGAAAGCAGTGAACCTTACAGCGACTGAAGGGCATTGCACAAGTATCAAAACTTACAATGTTTCAAAATCCTGAGAAAAGAAACCTATAGTTGCATTGTCAAAGTTTCTGTTGCTAACTACCCTTCCTCCTCCCCAATATATATTAAGGGCCTGTTTAATACAGATTTTCATTTTCTAAAGTAAATCAATTCTCATTTTCAACCACACATTCTTCAATAAAATAATATTTTCCATCACATCAATACTTTTTTCTTCTTTTTCAACCACACATTTCCCATCATATCACTATTCAAAAATCAATTCTTCCCCCAAAAATCCCTACCAAACACACTCTAATTGTTTTATTTTCACATGAAAAGAGGAGGAAGTATATGCAGAGGCCATTTTAATTAAGGACAATGAAAAAGTGTATCAAGCAGATGGATACCCATTTATCCATATATATATTTATGTGCTCCTATAAGCATGAGTTGTAGCTCCCAGAAGAGCTCTACACTTTTTTGGGTTTGTGTACAGCATTTTTATCATGCTAACACCACCAATCAATTAGTCGAATGCATTTCCTTTATTTGATTTTTTTTTTTTTTTTACTTTCAAATTCTTTTCACAAAAATAATGACAATCAGCATGAACATAAAAGCCTACCTGTTGCATACGAGTATTCAATACATCGAACTGGTGCATCGTGCCTTCCCAAAATATCCTCCCTGCTATAATTGAACACCAGCCTGAAGCATAAAAAGTGCCATTTTCAGGGACAATCATGAAATCACGCACCCAACAATTACCTCACCTTCAATCACATAGACAGATGAAATTATACAAGTATTGTATACATTTTTCCAGAATCAACTTCTTAATAAACAATCATCCCAAAACAGCAGTTAAATTAAAAACTAAAACTATGAGTTTGGGGGAAATTAGCATTTAAACTGAGCTGCTATTTAAAAAATAAAACAAAGAAAAAGTAGAATCAGCAAATATAACCTTCTAACAGTGTGGTCAGCACAAGCAGTGAACCCTGAGGAATCGTCGTGGAAGCAGCAATCAAGCACAGCACCTCCGTGCATGAACTCTCCTCTCAGTGCATTGGCACTTGCATCGTACAGTCGAACACTCTGTATCAAGCACACATCAAAATACAATCAAATCACCTAAAAATACCAAAAAATTCACAATCGAGATATAAAAATGCAAAATCCGAAAATAAAAAGAAGCAAAAAACAAGTAACCTTATCCCACGACGAAACCAACAAGTTGTCGCTATGGTTTGAAAACCGGAGATTTGATATGCCATCGGTTGGAGGGCTTGAAAGCTCCCGTCCGGTCGATTGTGGCGCCGCCGCCATAATCTTTGCTCGGTGTTTTGTTACAGATATTAGTGAATCAGATCTTGGAGAAAACCTGTGTGAGTGTGGAATGGCTAGGGTTTTATGCGTAGAGAGGTATGGAGGCAGAAGTCCTATCCGCTGTCCAAGATTTGAATTCAAATGACAGGAGTTTTCCGTTGTAAATCTAGCCCAGTTTGATTCCATAAATATTGTATTTTTAGTAAATTTTGACAAGTTGACAAAGTTTGTTTCTAAAACTCATTTATATGCTTGTTTGACATAGATTAAAATCGGATTAAAAGTCAAAAATTAATCGTTATTGTTGACTTTTATTAGACGAGTGAGACACGATAACGACTATATTTTCTGTTGGGTTTTTGATACCCAATAAATCCGAGCGATGATGTTAAATCGTTTTGTTGGAATAGTCTTCATAGGCCTTGGCCGATGATTGAAGTGGAATGTCGACGCCACAATGAACGAACCATCCCGACACCCTAAGTGGGCCATTTGAAGTAGCCTAATTTCTTTAGTGTTGCTCATGGCTCGGCCCATTACCTTGGATGGCTTTTAGTTGATAGCCCACTCGTTTGTTGAACTTATTGGGCCTCTACTTGTTTAACCTAAAAGCCCACTCTTTGGTATATATCTTACCCGGTTTCTAGTGTGTGAGTGTGGGAGAAATGTTGGAGCCGTGAGTGAGGNCTTATCCATGTGATTGCTTGCAAACAACCACCATGGGTGTGCTACAAGAGAGGGAGAGAAACGGGAAAGGGGCAGCCGGGTTTGGGGGAACATGGAGTGTTTCCACCATTGTTTTGCACCTAGTTTCTTCTCCATTGTAGTCACCATCTAGTGCCATTGTGGGTACTAAGAAAGAGCCACCAAAGAGAGAGGAAAGAGGCTGAAATGGCAGAGAAATGGTTTGGGTCGAGCCGGAGTCGAGAGGTGTCGATTGGTGTTATTTCTAAGCCTGGAAATTCGGTTTTGGAGCCCCAAAATCCCCAACATTTTCAATTCTAATAATGACTATATTTTCATTTCTAAATGGATTAAAATTCCTCCTAAACAAGCTTGTTTATTTCCAAGGACGGATTAAAAATTTTATCATTTTTTCTATTATATATTTCTCAAACTTTTATCAGAAATTTAAATCTAATTTTAGTTAAATAAAAAATAAATAAATCGAAATGCGTGATTAAAAATTTGATAAAAATTATGCATCTCATGAAGTGTGTTGTTCAAAATAAGTTTGAAATAAAAGATGATGCAGGTGTTGGCGGTGGTCGTTGCAGTCACGGTGGTTGTGAAGAGTGGTGATGGTTATGTTGACGGCGTTGCGTCGGAAGGTGCTGGTGGTGGTTTTGGCTGCGATGGCAATGGCGTTAGAGGCAGTGGTGTCACATATTATATGGTTGATTGTGACCAATAAATTAGTTAAAGTGTGACCAATGAAATAGATAAATTTTGATGAATAAATAATGCGTGATCTAAAAATTATTAATTTGTGACTAATAATATAATAATTTATGATCCTGTAATAAGTTGTGACTTATAAATTTTATAATTTGTGATCGAGAAATAAATTGAGACCTTTAAATTTTTTGATTTGTAACCGATGAACAAATTGTACCTATAAAAAAAATTTATTTATAAACGTGAAATAATTTGTAACCTATCAAAATTTTCATTTGTGACTAAAAAGTTGCGACCAAATTATATAGAATTGTGAACTTAATATATTTAATTTATATAATATATTATAATTAATTAGTATGTGAGTTTTGAAATTTTAAACATTTTTTTTTATTTTTTAAACGAGTGTCTCTTACATATGAAATTTTCCCAAACACCCGTTAAAGTTTATCAACATCACCGAATTAAATTCAGTAATTAATTAATTTAATCCACCTCAGCTAAAACCCTATTAAATCAAATCAAATTTCATCTTGAAAATCTCGATCTCAAGTTTTTTCTGTTTATCCATCCAGTCCATACAATGGTGGTCTGTAAATGCCGCAAGGTATGACGATATATACATAACTCTTTTATGCATTTATATGTACAGATGTAGCAATTGATTTATGTAATTTTGATTTTCTTTTATCTGATATGAAGTTTATGTAGCTCCTAGCTAATTGCATTTTCGAAGTTTATGTATTTGATTTAATTCACACTTGAATCTGCACTTCGCTAATTTTTAGATCAGATCGAGGTCGCTGTTATATACTATTAGAGACATCTCCAACAATAATTATCGTTTGTTATACGGTGTTAAGTTAGTCAGTTGGATTATTTTTCTGAATTCTGATATTCATTTGCTTGATAATTTGTGCAATTTGTGGTTGGGAGATGATTATTGGATCGGATTCCCTTTAAAACACAAGTAATGTTTTTATATGGTTTGTGTTACAGGCCACCAAACTATATTGTTTCGTGCACAAGGTCCCAGTTTGTGGGCAATGCATATGCTTTCCAGAGCACCAAATTTGTGTGGTACAGTTTACTATAATTCATATTCACAAAACTTCACACAGTAGTCTGGATTTGTTGAAATAGAATTGTTCTTGCATTATAGGTACGTACATACTCAGAGTGGGTAATTGATGGAGAGTATGATTGGCCTACTAAATGTTGCCATTGTCAAGCTGTGCTTGAAGAGGGAACCGATCCTCAGACTACGCGATTGGGTTGCTTGCGTACGTATTTGTGCTTGCACATCTTTAACATGCTTTGAATATTGGAAATACTCGCAATCAATCATCTGTGTGTGTGTGTTTGTGTACAGTATTTAAAAGATTGAGGTGTGCGAGTATTGATCGTAGTTCATCCTGCATATCTAATTTCTTTTTTTCTTTTTGCAGATGTTATCCACACAAATTGTTTGGTTTCACATGTTAAAAGTTTCCCTTCTCAAACTGCTCCCGCTGGATATGTCTGTCCATTCTGTTCTACTTCGGTACGTTCTACTTTCAAAAAGTAATTCAATTTCTGTTGCCAACGTCTATTGTTCAGTAGGCAAACCAATTTGTCATGGAAACATTTTAACTTCTACTACAAATGTCCTCTGGAACATTTTAGCCTCTTTTTGGCAAACTTATAAATCCTCTTTGTTTCAGATTTATAAATTGTCAAATTTCATTTTTAACCACACATTCCAATGGATCCACGAGAACAATCCTCGTATCCACCACTTTTAATCTATTTCTAAATTAAACCAGCTATAAATTCTTTCCAAGTGGTGGCTTCATATTTAAATTTTACATGTATTTGAAATATCAAGGTTATAAAAGAAAATAAAAGAAAACTTTTTAAATCTTTTATCTTGGGACACATAAAATGAAACTTGTGGCCCTTTACACAAAGCTGAAGCTGAAGTACACTGAAGAGCCTGGTTTTCTTGAGAATGTAAATTGAAATAAGAGTATCTTCTTGCACAACTAGTTATAATAATGTACTTGCTGTGACCTAGATATAATTCACTCAGAAGGTTGAGCTTTAAACGGTGTCTGCAGTTGATTAGGAAATGACAGAAGTGGAGAGTCTTGAATCTTGATTGCTAAATGTAGAGAAGGCTAATCAGTTTCCCAAACTAGTGCTAGAAAACCATGAATTGTTTCTAGGATTATGGTTAAAATTTTCATAATAAGACCTGATTGGGCAATATCAATGAAGACACCTGAGATCTCAGAATTGGGATGCATGAATAGACAAAGCTATCCTTGTAGATTGGGTATGTATTTTTGAAATCAGGCCTCGTCGTATGAGAATAGTATAGGTGTTGTTGTGATTACTATCCTCTGAATTCAATACGATTTGTTCTAAAACAAATATGAGAAGATAAGCTGTCATTTCCGAAATCAATACTTCATTACAAGCCTAACTATTCTTGAGTATAAGTCCATATATCCATTAAAAGTGATATCCCAACTTATCCTAAGTCAAATACCTTAACTTTGTCTTCCTATAACATATTGAAACAAACCCATGGCTCTTGCATTGCCAAGCTAGCACAAGCAATCTACCAAATTCAGCTGACAAGCTAAGACCTTGGATATATTGAAGGAAAGATGTAAAGAGGTTAAGAGGAGCTGAACAACACCCCCACTGCCACCCCCAGTTATTATTATTCTCCTTTAACTGAATTAAACAAGGATAATATGCCTAACGAACTTCCATGATTTAATTATGGCAACAGATGATCTATAAATTATCAGAATTTGATATTCAACCTTGTTAAGACCTATAAATTTGTCATGATCGGAGATCCATATTCCAAAATAGTCTTAAAAACTTTGAGCACCAGAAAGCCAATGCTGAACTCTGCCAAATGACCATCTAAAGAAAATTTAACTTCAACAATCAAGTTGTAGAGATATCTTTAGGATTTTATGTTCGGAAATTGATCGCACAGAACTCCTATTCAGGATTTTACAACATTACAGATAGCCCCTTTTCAGGGATAATATAACATCAAAATGGAGTTCCCCCACAACAGAGAATGTGATCGATACAGGGTCCCCATCTGGGTATGAATAGGGAGCTCCATTTAGATATTTGGTCACATCAAATAAAGCTACCCTTCGCGGGACAATACAGAGCTCTCTTCAACAGATCAACACAGAACTCTGTAGGAGATTGATGGTGTCAATCAGAGCTTCCTCCAGGAGATGGTACCTTCATTACCAATGACTAAAGAGAAGTCAAACCAGTCTTGTTATGTATAGCCAAAATTAAGAGCCATCAGAATTAAGGAAAAACTGATTGAAAACAATTTGTCATATAATTGTTTGACATAGTTAAATCATGACTCTGCAACAAGTCCAAGACCTTGGATAATTGAAAATGAACAGTGCCTTTCAATTTGGCTTTCTTTCGTCTTTCGTATATTCACTCTCTACTTGGCCTAAGATTTATTACTCTTAAGGTTATGGTTTTTCCTTATAGATATAAAACGTGTATATATCAGTAAGCTTTGAATAGTCTTATGGCACTAGAACATGCTCACAAATGGTGGCTATGAAATTTCTGACATAAAGTGTGAGATCAGAGTTTTTGTGGATGCGTACATATTTTTTTTATCACAAACACATTTAGAACCTGTTTTGCCTGTTTTTGTTTCATATTCACGAGTAACACTTTGCTGGTTGCAGATATGGCCTCCTAAAAGCGTCAAAGATTCTGGATCTCTTCTTCATTCAAAGCTGAAGGAAGCAATTATGATGGTAAAATCTTATTTTTTACCGAAGTACAGCAAACTTGCATCTTGTTTTATTTGTTCAAAATGTAATTATCAGCTAAAACAACAGAATAAACCAAGCCTTATTTTCGATAAATTTGGGGATGGCCACATTACTTCTTTTTACTACTTCACTGGATTGCTATATCTACTCGAGCATCTATTGAAATCACTTCTTCACAACCATAATGGTGGGTCACTTTCCATTATTTTATCTCTATTTCTTATTTATTTACATAAATTGATGTTCAATATAAAGTGCTGAACTGCCTCGGGGTCATTCTGGCAAGATGCATTTTCTATTCGGATATTTGTACTTGCAGATTGTTTTTCTCTATTCTCCTTCCTCCTCTACTCGCTGGATGTGGTTATTAAATTGTTATGATGATTTTTGGCTGACAGTACATTATCACAGATGAGAAGGCTTAGGAACTCTTTACCTCTTTGAACGATCATCTAAACTAATTGAAGGAAATGTATTTGGTGAGAAGTCTTGGGAAGTTCTGTGGGCTCAGGGTTTTAGAAATTGACTTTTGTGCTGGCTAGGAATGAGAATTTTCACAGACCATCCAGTTCACTTATTTTATTTGGCTATGGAAATGCTATCTCCAATATAAAAGAAATGTGGATTGTAGCATTACTACAATAGATGTGTATGTCAGTTGTCCTCGTCGAAGAAAAAAGAAGAAAAAGAAAGAAACTGTGTACATCCACTGTAATGCATTGTGCCCGCTTCAGCTCTTTATTCAGTATGCTGCACTTATGCTTTGTATGCTTGTCTTTCAAGTCAAGCTGAAAATTTGTGTAGTTCTAATTTTGTATGATACTTCTAAAATCCAGAAAATTCTCTGACATCTGTGGTAATATTCCTGAAATTGTTGCTTCAATTAGATCAGATGGGGTGTAGACAGAATTGAACAGACATGTCTCCACGGATTTCTGTCCTCCCTTTTTTCCCTTCTTTCTCTTCAGCCAAGTCATTTTCTTTCCTTTCCCTGCTGGGTTCAAATATTGAGTTCGAAGCCAGGTCTCTTCTGCTACAGCTGGTTAGGGACAGGGATATAAATATGGAGAGAAGTTTGTGTACGGCTTGGTCAATTAAGCAAATATAATCAGATCAATCTCTGAAAGATGGTTCTATATGTAATAGTTCAAGCAGAAAAAGTCATCGGGTATTCCTCTTGGGAATTAATACGGATGGAGTGATTCTGTACTACTTATTTACCAATTAATTGGTGTGCCATGTCACCGGTGCTTAGGAGATCATTCCTACATATATTTCTTGTTTGGATTAGTGGAATGGAATTTCATTAGAGGGATTGCACAGGGAAACAAGAGGTTTGTCGTACTGAATTTCCAAACACGACTTGGTTTTTGTCAGTTTGGCTTCACTCCGTCTTCTTGATGAAAGTCTTGTTTCAGTTTCCAAGTGAGAGTTCTGTTGTTGATTTTCTTTCTTGTTAAATCTTTAAGTACCCAAAAGCAGCTTCAATGAATGTACTCCTTTAGCATGTTGAGCCAAACTATGGTTGTAGATGTTCCAAAACAGTAGCCGTTAACCATACAAGTTCTGCTTGAAGGCTTCGATGGACCACATTTGATTTCTTTGTAAATTTCTTCTGCCTCTTGCTCTCGTGAATTTGTGTCCTCTAAATTCATCTTATGTGCTAGTGGGTGAATGTTTGCCTTTGCTTTTTCTTCATTCCCTCCCGTTGATTTCTCACTTTTCTTTTTCTGTTACTGCCCTTTTCCTTTTTGGTTGTATATGAAGGGTTGCAGGGAGGTGTTTCTTTCTCACCACTAAGAGGATAATTGCCTTGGTGATTTCTTATATTATATGACATCAATTCTTTTTGCAGACTGGCTTGGAGAAGAACTTGTTTGGGAATCATCCAGTTTCATTGCCCGGGATGGAGCCCCGAAGTCCTCCACCTGCTTTTGCTTCAGATCCACTGATGCATGCCTCTGCTGATGGAAAAGATGCAGCTTCTACCAGGATTGGTTCTACAAAACCCGTAGAGTTGGAGATTGTGGAGATAGATGGGCCTGCCTCAGCAACATCATCACTGTCTAATCACGAGCCCAGTTTCATGAAAAGCACAAGTCCAACTGCTGTAAGAATAATATTTTATTTTTTCTATTTTTATTTTAACCGTGTTCACCTCAGTATGCTACGTGATGTGTTTCTGCGTGTATCTTCCTGATGTATTTGTACACAGCCTGTTGCCATGACACGAAAAAATGCTGTCCAAGTTGAGAGGCAAAATTCTGAAGCTTTATATTATGCTGATGATGAAGACGGGAACCGGAAGAAGTACACTCGAAGAGGTGGGTGAAGGTCATTCATTCTGTGTTCTTTTGATTGTGTTTCCTATGGTTGCATTATTGCTAGTAGAAGAAAGACCAAAAACAGCATCAGCATCCTGTGATGGTTGAAATTCTTGTTTGCTGGCTCTATGCCACAATGTTTGTCACTTTAACAATTACCTGAGCTGTTATCCCTGATGTGTTTTGCTATGGCCCATGGCCAAGAGGGGTTGTTGGATGGGAGATAAGTTGCTAGGCTCAAATGGGTCCTAATCATCACCAAATACGGTACTAAATGTTGGACTTTATGGCCATATATGATATACTCTTTATAAGGGATATGGAGCAACCGTACTATCCAGTTTTTAGGTCATAAATAAACCTTACAGTAGGATAAGTGCCCAGTCATTTCCACTTGCACCGTGACAATGAATGCCATCCCCCATTGCGTTCTGCGAATAATAGCATCTGATATGATGTGTTGTATGCCCCAGGCTTGAGTGGCTTATTGTATGGAAAATAGGACACTAAGCTCCCACTTGGCCCCTATTATTCCTCATTAAATTATAATTCATTTTTCTCTTTTTTGTCAAATACACATTCTTCTATAAAATAATATTATACGTAAATCAAAGAACTTTTCCTTCTTTTTTAACCAAACATTCTCCAAAAAATTAATATTCCTCTCATTATACTTGGAATAATTGGGGCCAAATGGGCGCTAAATGATGTGTTAAATTCACTGCCCAAAATTGGGAAGAAATGTTGTCCAACCTTGATTTTCATATGCAACCTTATAAACAGTTCTCAAACTTCATGTTCAGCCAGTGTAATATCTAAGTTGGGTTCTCATATTTTTTAAATTTCATGTTAGAAAATTGATTTTGTAATGATTGCCTTTTTTGTACTATAGATGCTATTTCATAATTTTTTTTTCTTTCACAACTTTGTAAAATGAACTTGCTGATCTCAATTGCAGGTCCATTCCGCCATAAGCTTCTTAGGTCATTGCTACCTTTCTGGTCTAGTGCATTGCCAACTCTACCAGTAACTGCACCACCGCGAAAAGACTCATCAAATGCAGATGAAGTACCTGAAGGTCGCGCAAGACATCATAGATCTTCAAGGATGGATCCGAGGAAACTCCTCCTAGTTATAGCTATCATGTAATCTATGCCTTTCCTTTGTTTTCCCTCAGCCGTTTCTCTTTTATATTCTTCTTTTAAGCTTCTTTGCATGGTTAAGTGAATTTGAGAAATGGTTATGTGCAATTGGCTTGCTGGGTAAAGGATGATCCTAAAAGAAATAAAAATTTGATTGCAAATGTGATATGTCTCGCCGAATGCTGGGGGTGACTTGATCAAATTTTATAGTTAAACCACAAAATGTCATGGGGATTCCAAAATAGAGATCAAGTCTTGCAGTTGCTAGTTTTCTCTCATTCAATTCTTTTATGAGCATCAAGTCGACTTAACATCTTTCCTCCTTTTCTTGTGCAGGGCTTGCATGGCAACAATGGGTATTCTGTATTACAGAATTGCACAACGAGGTCTGGACGATGCATTGCCCGATGAAGAACAGCAGTAATCAATCTTGATAAACCCGTGTTTGATGGCTGCAGGAATATAGCACATTATTCTGCTTTGCTGCTTGTTTGTTATTCGGATCTCCCTTCAGGCAAGTATGGCTGTTTTTGTGTTGAACACATCTGTTTTCTGGAGCTAGATGTTACCTACTCTACTGTCCATTAGATATCCTACTTTTCTCTTTGTTCTTTTTTAACTACGTTTTAGATTTAAACTGGAATGTAAGATTTTGAAGAAATTCCTTATTCTTCACATTTATCTGGAATTACTATTTTTTATAAATTTCTTCTTCCTTTTCGCTTTTTCCCTTTCGATGCCGAGGAGATAAAACTTACAGTGGCATCAACTCGAGTCTTTTGAAAGGCGCAAGTTAAGAATGTTCACTTCAACCTATCACAAAGAAAGTAAGGAAAGACCTTTCTTTTTACAATCAGAATGAACTGCTTATCTGGTTATCCTCCCAATCAAAGTTTGAAATAAAGACGTGTTCCCAACTTCGAATTCAGATAGTAAAATATAATTTCTTCATTTGATTGTTGGAAAGGGAATTAGAATTAACAGAATAGTGGACAAAAAAATAAATAAATTATAAAGTTAGGATAAAGCCCACCATTGACTTTTTATTAAAATAATTAAAGTCAACAATCAAGTTAATTTTGGTTGGAACGGGTATCTAATTTATTTTTGAAGTTAAAGTTTCCGAAAATTTTGATCCAAACTTGAGTGTCAAAATGTGAAATAGTGCCATGCACATCATATAAAGAAGCAATGCCATTTGTGTAATGGTGTTTTTGCTAAGAGGGGGAAAAGAAAAAAACGCTAGAGGAAGGGGTTGAACCTTCGACCTTGTGGTTAACAGCCACACGCTCTAACCAACTGAGCTACTCCAGCGTTGCTTCTAAACGTAATTATTAGTTTCTAATATCTTAAATTGTGAGATTTCCTAAAATGTTGAGAACTGTTTTAAAATAATTGTTCGGTGTTTTAGAAGTTTTGCTATACAAACATAATACTTGACATAGGGGATGACACAACACACACACATGGGGGAGGTCGGCATTATTTAATTTAGGTCGGGACCCATATACAATGTGAGAGGTCGGTTAACCCATATGTCGCATTATGTTCATTTAGCTTAATTCGTGTTTTAGTTTCATGTTTAAATATTTATCACAATCAAATTTATTATCTATAAACCGACCAATGTTATAAGTGAAACTAGATTAGCAGTTCAACGGAAAAATCAAAAACTAATCTAAAATTGATCAAATTTTATAGTACTTCCTATTAAACGAGAAAGAAGGGAAAACGATGTTAAGACTTGAGTTTAACCCATGAAATATCATAGAATCGTAATAGTTGATCATTATAAAATAAACTTAGCCCATGTCTGTCTTCCATTTTTTCAAAACTTTTTGTTTGTAATTGTCCTTGCAGCTCATGTTCGACTTGTGTCCATACACACACATATGTAGTATAAAACTAAAAATATGCATTTCGCCTTCGTGAAGAAAATTAAAAGAATTATCGTGAACTACAAATCCTTCTAATATTTTTAAAATTCAATATGTTTCTTAGTTTCCGTATTTAACTATATATTCGAATTGTTTCTTATTTTTTTACCACAAGTTAAACCCTTGTCGTGCTTCTTAATGTCCTGCTTTTTTAGTTCAACTTTGGAATAATTTTATGGTTGGTTCTAACGAACAAAATTATTTGCAGATTGCTTGGCTCTAGGAGAATTTTGTGACACAAATTTTGTTGAAATTTTATATCGAATGATTATTTAAGTGGATCAATGTTAAATGATTATTTAAGTGAAATTCATTATTTGGTGAATGAGAAATTAAACCAATTTATGCTGCTTAAATAATTGAAATTATTGGAAAATCATGTAGAATATTATGGAATATTTTTGAAAATATTTGGATGGAAATGTGTGTCATTTCATATGAAAAAATCATGACTTTTGGGATGATTATTTTTCAACGGGCAAGTTTCTTTCAAGTATATAGATAAATTTCAAGAGGCGTGTCCTTTTGTATGGTTGTCTTTTAAGACAAACATTTCCAACTACTATATATAAATCTCATGCGTTTGAATTTTATTTATTCAATTCATAATTCCATATCATTTCTCTTGATTGCATTGCATTGCATAAAAATAGTTTGTAAAAGTCGTCTTTTCTTGCATAAAATCATGGTTAGGTAGAGAGAAAATTCCGTTAAGATTTTGTTAGTCTACGTAATTTGAAGTGTTCTTATTGCGAGATGTGGTCTTTGTATTTTGAGATATGATTATCGAAAAATTGTTACACCAATGCGGAGCAAATTCATCTTAAGTATAAAGTGTCAAACATTTGCCTTGACCAATCCCATCACTTGCATTTCCTTGTTTCATTTTCCGATTTCTTTCAATTTTGTTTTGATTTCAAAAAAATGACAACTCTCTTTTGTTTATATTGAAAGGTTTGAATTAAAAAATGAAATGTTTTTTGTTGAAGAATGAAAAAAGATTAAATCAGTTATTATGTATTCGACTTCAGTAATTATCATTTCGTCCTCTCAAATCCTATTTTGGTGAGTAAGTCGGAACCATGTTCGATTTCACGCACGTAAAATGTACGTTTTGGAAATTTATTCATGCACATTATCGGCGAAATATTTGCCCTATCAGTGCCATAATATAAAAGGGGCATGTGTTTCAATCTGCGAAGAAGAATTTAGAAAACTTTAATTCTTCTCAACGTCTAGAAGGATATCCAATTTGTAGATGCAAACATTTTTGGTCACTAAATAGATATTATCATCATCATAAGAGTTGGACTTTTCTAAAAGTTCTTAAGAGTAACGATATTATAAATCATAACTAATTCATTCAATATTTATAAATCAAGTATATCATGGACAACTATATCAGAAATGTGTTCGAAAAGAGATTCAATTCAGAAAACTAGTTGCCAAGTACCCCTGGATTTTCCACTCATAAGTTTATTACAGAATGTACAGTAAATAAGTACTTAATTGCAGCAAAAGGGATAGCAGAATTATTCACCTTCTGGAACTTCCAAAATTAAGACTGTATCTCCCTTATATTGCAGCAAAACTGTTCTTCATCTACAGAAAATTGGGGGACATCAATTCCCATCAAAAGGAATAAACCAATATACATGTGATACTATTATGAGATACTTCTCAAAACCCCTTGGTTCAAATGCCACAATGATGGTCATAATTGTCTTTTGGTTTTTTCATGACCGAAAGAGGGAGCATCTCAAGATCATCTCCAAATTTTGGCAGACTACCATTCCATCGTGTAACTTGCTCCTGAGGTCTTTCCATGGTCAAGTGCAACTCTGAGAGCTGACTTGTTAGCTCCATTCATAGACTCGGCCTGAAACATGACAAAATATTAACTTCAATCAAATCAATCTCTAATAAATCACAAGAACAACATAAATTCATTTCCGATGGGTAGAACATGACACTGCAAAAATGTAGTGTAAGCTTGTAGTTAGTATTCTAAGTAAGGAACTGTTCAAAACATGTACAAAGCATCATACTATATCAAAATAAAATTACGGTGGTAGTTAATAGATTTGCATATAAAGAGCGACAATAGAATTCCATAAACACAAGGGTCCATGTAATCGCATCCAATAAAAAAATCTAAGAACAAGGATAAAAAAATTTCAAAATATAACTGGCAGATACAATATAATGCCCACAATAGCCGCAAAGACAATGGTAGGAACCTGATTTGAATATGTAAAATAACTGTAACAATTGAAAGGAAATTGCAAAGAAATTACAATGAACAATGAAAAAGAATTACAGCAAATTGGCCAGCTTCATGGTCATCTTAGATTCTGGACCTAAAATAACATTATAGGTGAAGGAGCAAGATGGAATCAGCTTCCCACACTTAAATGCAGAGTACATGCCACAAGGGAAAAATTGTACTTACAATGAAAGATAACATATTCAGCGTCAAACTTCTTGGATATCATAATTGCAAATATGTTTTGTCGGAGTGAGTGCTGATCTTGTTAGAACAAAAAAATAAGCATCCGCAAGATGCAGCAATTTTAACTTCCCGTGTTATTTTCAAAAAAGGAATACATCAGAGAAGATGCACATATAAGTATCAGAAACTAAATATGGTAACTTACACAAAATTAATGATCTTGATAGTTCCTTCTCTTTGAATTAGAACAGTTTATAAGATCTATCAAACTTCAGCAGAATCACCTCACAATTTTACAATCCTGTATGGTGATCACAGGGCCAGCATTCAGAGGAAGCAGGCTCCAATAAGAACCGACACTATCGATACAACAACTATGCCATTTGATTCTATAAGAACCGATGGGAAAAGAAGAAATATCAAACAAGCAAGTAGAGAACCCTTGGCCTCGTGTGTTCAGTTCAAAATGCACATACTGATTCACCATAACATCATCGTTGTTATCTCTGCAATGCATTCTATAACTCCTTGTAGATCCAGTAACATAGCCTACTAGCTGTTCGTTCAAGTCCACCAAATCATCAATTCCGCCATCTTCGCTACCCAAGTGGTTTTGCCGTTTATTCTCTCCCATTTCTGTTTTCTTCTGAGAAGATGATCTACAACTAAGAATGCACAACAATTTTGTAAGCCGCAAAGGTGGACCTGCTGGCATGTTTCTCAATTGAAGGCACAAATTCAGTGAGATGGGGGAACCTGAAAAAACAGATACCCCATCCACATGTTCACCATCTTCATTCATCACGAAAAGCTCAGAGGTAACACTAGGCCTAAAAATAAAGTCAGCTTCAAATATTAGAATAATATCAAAAGCGGGTAATCCAAAACATCAACACTCAGTTTGAAGTTAGGACACTCAATGAAATGCAATAAAGTCTACATGTGTAGACACAAGCCATAGAACTATGAATTTGTGATCAGAGTCATCATAAAATTTGCCACTTATAACAATGAGAACGTGGATGGTTGTGGTCACCTAACTTGTAGGAAGAATATAAAATCTGCCACTTAAAAGGATATAAGTGATATTAATGCTTTATCCTAATTCCTAAATGTGTAGGAAGAGCATAAAAAAATTGAAAGAAGAAAAATATGATACATCAGGGCTTCAAATCTATATAAAAGGCTTTATTCAACATACCTTACTTGAAAAAAGTGCTTGGGAGCCCTGAATGGTATCAAAATACATTGTGAAATAATGTTCAACAAAAGCTGTGAACCATCATTTATGGTTTGAGACATGCTGTCACCCCCTTCCATCTGGCTTGCCTCATTTTGGTAGGCAACAATCCTCAAAATGGCATAATCACAGAGTTTGAGCATAACTCTTGTTTCATAACTGTCTGAGATCCGATTTCTCAACCGTGGTGAAAAACAGCTCCCGTACTTTCCAAAAGACTTCATAAGAAACAGGAGACTATTCCTGGTTGCACTGTCTATTTGCCTCAACCTTCCAACTAAATCTTCTAGTAGCATAGCATGGAAAGACTCCTTAAGGTATTCAGAGTTTAAAGTCCTATAATTCTCTGAATACTGCAAGTTTGGGATGAGAAAGACAAAGGCAGCACTGAAGGCCATCAATGAACAACTCAATGCAAGTGACGAAACAATAATCACACTTTGTCCGTCCATGTCAATGAAAGATGTTACAAATAGATCAAATTCTCTAGTTAATTTATTCATTCGGCAAGAGACCTCCGTGAAAGAATCAACCAAGGAACTGAGTCTTTGGAAAAAACTCAAGCCTGAAACTGGATCTGTTCTCTCCCCTTCTCCTGAGGGGCTACTGCTATATTGAACAAGTGAAATTGTATTCAATAGCTTCATTATATCTACTACAGATGACAGGAGCTTTGCTCTAAGGGACAAAAACCATCTTTGGAAACCGAACAAAAGACCCAAACCAGAGTCTCTAAGTGTTTCCTCTGCAGAGCAAAGAATACTACAAGCACTGATAAGATTTTCAATATAGTTACGCTTGTTGATTTTCCAGCAAATGCCTTCTCTTTTAACTCCATTAGGTTCGGAAGGGACAAATGGGTCTCCTTTAACGGTTGAATGGTTTAGGATAGAAGGGTCTTGGTCACGTATGAAGAACAACTGAATCTGCTTTTCACTGTGTGAGAACTGAGCCAAGGATTTCAACCAGTGGGAACAGGCAGTAGATTTAACTGTGCTGTGGATATGCTCAAAAATGAAAGCAGCTGTAGACCATGCTCCCTGATAGAGTGCAAGTTTTCCCACTTTATAAGATGACCAATAACTTTTTTCCCCCAACATCTTCTTTGCACAGTCAAGAGTAAGGATGTCAAGCTGAATAATGGAATTAACACAAGAAAGAGTAAAGTTTTTATCAAGACTCATCAATTCCTGTTTCTCACTACACATGGAACTATGGATGGCACAGAAGTGTAATAAGAGGCAGTAGATCGTATGGATATAGTTATCAAAAGAGGTGCACTGGCGTACATGTTCTATCTGACGCTTCAACCCACTAAAAACTTGGCTTGTTCCAGCATCAGTTTCATCTAGGTTTTGTATACAAACAACCACAACTTTGGATACATAGAGCATGAGTTTTGAATTGAAAAATGTTTTGCTTCCTCTGACAAACTCTGTGACATCATGACTTGGCAAGTCAGTTTTCTCTATACTCACAACTTTGTCCAGTTCCTTGATCAGGTTATCTATAAATATGAAGATTTTATTTGGCACCAAGCAACAAAGATATGAATGATTTTCAACCAGGTTAACTAAAAGTTTAAGTAAGCTTTTAAACTCAAGCTCCATATCCAAGTCAGGCTGATGACCATCCATCTCCATCCTTACTGGCAAAGAGATCTGATCTAAAACAAATGAAATCACCTGGGATGCTAGACTTGAACCAATTTCACTTGAGACTATATCTTCTCTTCCCAGAATCTTGTCAGAGAGATCGGCTAGAATCCTAAAGGCTAAGACTCTCTTGGACTTGGAGGAAGACCGTACTATATTCTCAAGAATTGTCAACAAGCTTGGAAAAATCTCAAGCATCTCTATGCAAGGAATTATGGATGAACCATACAAAAGGATCTGCAAAGTGCCAATGTCAGAATCGCTAAGAAAACAGTGTTCATGAACTCAAGAAAGTTAATATGGGAAACACCTTATGCAAAATTTCTAAAGCTTCAAATTGGAGTGCTTGTGAAATTTCAGATCTATTCATAATAATAAATAATTTATGGATGACGTCCCTGGCTGACGGAAAATCACAAACTCCCTTTGCTAATGTGAAATTAAGACATCTTAATGTTGTAGCTTGGAAATCCAAAGATCGCTCTTCACTTACAAACAATGCAAGCAATTCTATCTGCAACAAAAAGCAAGATATAGATATTATGCGTCAAGAAAGGACAAGAAAATTTAAAAAAATAAAAAATACTATCTACAAAGAATTCACCACATCCGAGAGCAAAGTTTCCTATCAAAATTAGCTGGTTAGATGGAGATCACGATGGAGACTGCATTGAAGATTTCCGAAGGATACACACTCATTTTAGCCAGAAACGAAAATAAATCATGATTCATTTTGACCAATTTCGTGTGCTTTAATTTATAGGGTAAGTAGATAAGCACGGTAGATACCTGTACAGATGTTAGAAGCGTCCACTTAGAGGCAATTTTAGAAAGTGAAATCAGCATCACAGCAGAGAAATCATCTTCTAAAGAATCCTTTAGCAGCTTTAAACCTGTCTGCAATAACATTAAGAGCTGAAATATAACCTTGTGGCTCTAACTGCATACATGCTCAGGGTTTATGTCCTGAGTAGGCATATTCTTTTAGGTGTAGAAACAATATGCTTGTTACATTTACCATGGGACGTCTTCATTTTGTTAAAGATTTGAGTTAAAGCACATAATATTTTATATTGATGTCACATGAACTCTGCAAGATGCCTACCAAAAATAATTTGAGTGCTCTCTATCTATATACCCTCTAAAGAGACTTTTTTTTTTCACAAAAAAAGGACAATAGCATGATAATATGTAGATTGAGCGTACCAGCTTGGGAAGGAATAAACTAAAAGTAGGCAGAATGCTGAACCTTATATGCTTTATCTGCAAGTGACAATGGGCACCATAGTTTAGCAAAAGCTTTCACTCCTGCTAACCTTAAAGCTCTTGGAATCTCCAACGATATCACCATCCTGGTCAGCATCTCCAAGAAAACATTAGCGAAGTCATCTGACAATTCACATAAGCATCCTGCAGCAAACAATGAGGCCTTCACCTGCATATAATTGCAGAATATAGATTAAGTTAAATAATGAAGAGAAAAGAGGAACCAATTGATGTGAGCATGGGAGAGCACATATTGATGCCACATTTTTCATTACAGGAGCAAGATAAATTCTAGTAGAGAAATTAAGAAAAAGATAAGGGCAAAACAGTAGGTTTTATTAAAAATAAAAATCCAAGGGAAATCGGTTTTCTCAACTATTCATTTCCTTTTCTTTTCCTCGATGAATATGCAAAATTCAGAGAAACCAATTGCATAAACAGAGATCAACGTGGAGTTGTGGATTGAATATTTGGTCCAGAAAGTGGGCAATCAAAATTATAATACACATCAAAAAAATTTGTGCTGTCACCTGTCCATATTACCTCTCAAGGTCTGCTTAGAACCACACCGTAGAAATGAATCACAATATCACATGCATATATCAATACAATAAATTTCAATGTTCACGTAATGTAAATAAAATGAATTTTTCTGAAGTAACCTAACCACATACTAATGGATTCCTACATAGATTTGTAAAATTCTTAATACATGGATTAAAAACTAAAATAACATCGAAGTTTCCAATTTCCAACAAATTGTACTTAAAATTTTACCTCACAAGCATCACCAGAAACCAAACTCGATAGCATAATGTACCGTATATCAGCAACATCTTTTGCAAAATCTGCCCAGCAACCAAACAAAATCAAAGCCATCGATCGTTCTTCTACATCCCCAGTATCAAACACTACCTTTACTCTTCTCAACAATTCCATGTAGTTATCTAATTTATCCTTGCTCAAAATCCTACAATCATCATCCTTAACACCACTTCTCCTCCTTTTCTGTCGCAGGGACAGAAAAATATTTACTATGCAACTTTTAACATTTTTATCTCCTAACCTAAATGCATCCGCCAAACGCAGAAAGATCGCATTCAAAAAAAGCTTATCTTCACCAGGAATTAAGCTGAAAATTTTGTATTCTGCAACTTTAAGCTTTGAATCCCTACTCCACCATTCAATCCTGGAACCTATGTCTTTTATAGCTTTAATTGATTTACCTGTATAAATTCAATTATTATTAAAAATAAAAAAGATAGGAAAACCAAATTTACTAGAAAGAAATCCGGTTAAAAAAAAAAAATTCAATAGTTACCAGGTTTTTTGGAACGGAGACTCTTGTCAAGCTCAATACTCCAGTCCATGGCGCAAGCTGCTGGAATTTTGTCCATATCTGTGTCACATTTGGTACCTGAGATGAGAGTTAATTTAAATCATCAATCGTTAACATTTACCTTTAGCTACCACTTACTCACCCAGAATTAAAAAGTTACACATTGCTTACTCACATTTAAAAAAGATTACTCATCCATCACCCTTATCAATTCCGTTAGTCTACTTGGACGGAAAATTCCACATGGCATATAGAAATCCTACGTGGCCACTAGCACTATTCAAAATTTCAGTGTAATCTCTTAAGATAGGAAGAATCGTTCTTTATCTTTTCCATGTTCATCCATTTCTAAATTTCCCCAATTCATTCCCAAATCAGCTTCTCATCGATTGAATCCAAAATCAAGAAACAATATCTCCTCCCCAAGTTTGTTGTGAAAATGAAATAATCCTTTTGCTTACTGGAATTCATCTGTTAAAAAATGACAGCTATGTAACAGAAGGATGCCCTCAAAGAAAGCCGACATTAGCGAAATCTTATGAATTCGAAGAAGCCAGTAGGAAAGCTTCAATTGTAGGAGTAAGAAAATCCAAGGAAAGCAAGTTATTTGATAAGAAAATTTG